AGTATTCATTAATCGACAAGGCAAACTATTGGGAAGACTACTCGAATTTGGTTTTACACAGAAGTGATTAAAAATAGGACATTATATTTCTATTATTGATTGTACGCCTCAGGTAAATTGGCATGCATTTTCTGCAATCCAGATTTATATCAAAATGCCTGTTACATATTTGAACGGATTTTAATTTAATATATAACTTGTGTACGGCATCTTGTTCGTCAAACAAATTTCTCGACTCTTGCAAAATCGTTAAGAAGTAGTTCGATTTCTAACTGAATTTCTTTCAGCTGAATAATCTTTCAAGCCATCTTTGCAGTATTTGTAAGCCGTATTGATTTTCAACAGACAAGTTGTCCAAAATATGAGGAAGATGCAGTTTGAAATTCACTACTTTTAAATCAAATAAAAATTACACATGAAGAATATAAAATTTTAATAAATACTATAGTTTAGTTCTTTCTGTTTGCACTCAGTTTAATGCATCATCTAACTAATTAATATTATCAATTAAAGTAATAAATTTTATGCTCATTTAATATTAAATATGATAAACTACGTTTAGTACCAAAAGTTTTAAAGGGCAAAAATACATACAGTTAGCTTTTTGCTCATTGTTTTCTTTAACGATTCCCTTCGAACAGAACCTGCTCAGACCAGAGGTTTATGCACGTTTTATAGCCAGTGGCGTACACTGGTGTGCAAAAATTAAGGACGAAGTCGAAAAATTAGCATATCAGCTGAACGAAGAGGCAGAGCGGACAGAAAGACCAATCAGGAGATTAAGTAAGGTGATGTACGGTAGCACATGCGCAGATATGCAGGTAGACGTAATGGGGGAGTGTCTGAGTAGTATAAAGCATGTTGTCGGTGTAAGATCAGTATTTCTGGCAAAGAGATTGCAAATTATAATCGAGTTGCTGCCTCAGCGAGAAATGGCGAATTATCAATCTGTTAGACGACATCTGGATGCTTTTACCCGAGGTCGAATCATTGGGAAGTTGGAGGAAGGGCGCACTGTGACAAGTGTGGCTGCAGAGTTCAGAATTGCTCACAGCATCGTTTCACGACTTTGGAGACAATTTCAAACTACAGGAACAGCTATCCGGGGGTTTAGTAGTGGTCGTCCACGAGGAACCACACCCGCTGATGACCGGTATATTGCCTTACAGGCCAGAAGAAACAGGCGGCAGACAGAGGGAGAAATCACTAGACACACGGCACAGGCGACTGGACGACCGATATCGCGTTTTACCGTGGCCAGAAGACTGCACGGTGGTGGTCTGTTTGCACGACGCCCTGTACGGTGTGTACCTCTAACGCCTGCCCATCGGAGAAGGCGTTCTCTGTGGTGCCGGGAACACCGGAATTGGAGAGACAATGAATGGGAACGAGCACTCTTTACAGATGAGAGCAGATTCAGTCTGAGTAGCGATTCTCATCGCATACTCATCTGGAGAGAGCGGGAAAGCCGCAATCATTCCTCGAACATCGTTGAAAGGGACAGGTATGGAGGTGGCGGTGTTCTCGTTTGAGGAGGCATCATGCTTGGTAGTCGTACAGACCTTCACATCTTCGACGCAGGTTCAGTCAACGGGACCCGTTATTGTAACGAGATTCTTCTTCCATATGTGCGTCTTTTTAGAGGCGCTATGGGTCCGCAGCTCCTTTTCATGGACGACAATGCACCATGTCATCGCACAGTAGCTGCCGAACAGCTCTTAGAGAGTGAGGATATTGAACGTATGGATTGGCCGGCACGATCTCCGGATCTCAATCCCATCGAGCATGTATGGGATTTTCTAGGCAGACGCTTGGCAGCTCGTACCTTACCACCAGTAACGACTCCGGAGCTTCGATTGGCGCTGCAAGACGAATGGGCAGCAATGCCTCAACCACCCATTGACACCCTCATTCTCAGCATGGGCAGACGCTGTGAAACCTGCCTAGCAGTCAGGGGAGATCATATGCCCTATTAAAGACCGGATGTTTCTTGCTGGACACCCATCACAGGGATGTTTCGGCCTTCAGTCGCATTGCGCTCCATGCTACGTTTTTCATAAAGCTTCTTTTTATCCCTCTGAATTCTCTTTTAGTAAGTGTTGCTTACATTACTCATGTCCTTACGCATTGGGGATCTTACTGTATTAAATGTGTTGATTTGGAAAGCTTTTGTACAAAGTTATATTGAAAAAACCGTCTCGTCCTTAATTTTTGCACACCAGTGTATATTAAAACTAGGATGAAATCTTAGCAGTTATTCAGGGAAAGATTCTCGCCGCTATCCTATTCATTGTGAAATGATTAGCCGCCCATTACAATTTGAACATCGACGTTAGCCGAGTTCCGTTAGCGTAGGTAGCTTTTTGCTATTCGAACCAAATGTGTTGTAACTTCGAGTAAGGTTTTGTGGAAATTTTAATTCAGCCAATCCATTGTAGCTTAGCAATGAGTTGCTGTTGACAAGGTGATGAAATATTTATTTTGTACTATTTTTAGTTCTAAAATCACGAGCAGCGGAAAAGGAAAGTTTTGAGTTAGATTTTAATTTTTAAATTTTATCTTCTGTTCATATTAAGCATTGAGAAAGTTAATAACCCACTAACCATTAATGCTTAATTTAAATTATTAAAGTTAGCCGTTAGGTTTCATAACAAACAGTTTTAGTTAAGTTAGAGGCATTTGAATGCTATGAGTCACTGTTATTTATCAAAGCTTCCACAGTCCGTTAAAAAAAATACTTTTTGCTTAATGATTTTTAAGATATAATTATTTGTGCATTTATTGAAAATTTATTAATCAGCTTTATTAATTTATTACGTTAAATATAAATGGAAAAAAAGGTCAAAAATGTTTTTTGGAAATTTACCTCCCTTTTAACCTTTTATTTAACTAAAATGTTTTACTTCACTTCTTACTGGTGTCAAATAAATATAACACATCTTAAACTACTGATGTTTGCAGGAGATGCCATTAACACTTAAGTAATGTAATAATTGGACAAACTAATTACTGAATTATATAAGCTTACTGTCAACTGATTTAGTTAATCTAATTACCGCATTATTAGTTACAATGCAGAAATCAAGTGCTGACCCTTTTCGGTGGTTATTTGATTTCAAAATTACAATTCGTTTCTTATCTTTTCAAGTTTGTTGATGATATTATATACAACAACTGCTGTAAATCTATTCGACTATCAACCACTGCATACCATAGTTCTTCAAGTATTACGAATGGTTACTGTTTTCATAGTTACGTTATCCATTTCCTAATTTTCCCATTTTATGTCTTGAATCAAAAATAATCCACCGGAATAAGATTAAAGAACTGGATCTTATGAGCAAATTTATATTTTTCTGCCATGTAGATGGATTATACGAAAATATTTGTTACCAAAACCTTTTATAGCTATTACAGTTTATAGAGCAAGGAAACAGATGAAATTGAGCCATGACGTTTCTGATAGCAAATTCGATGCGCTATCATTTACAGCACTAGAGCACGCTGTAAGGAAGACAAAAATTTCTTGTAATTTTTCCCCTGTTGCCCTTTAATAATTATATTTAAAGGGCAACTGGGGAGGGAAAAGACAGAGTCGTCAAATACAGGTTAACAAATTATTGCTGGCCACATTTTCATTCGGGCTCTTCTGCAGATATATCAAGTATTTATTCGGATAAAAATAAAGGCCACAAGATATAAGCTATTTTCACTCCAGAAAAATGAGTATCTTCTGGTTAGCCTTACGTGTTACCAGTTATATCATGGGAGGTAAAAGTGGGGAAAGCGAAGTTCCTTAACTTACTTTTTATACTAATTTTATATTCTTTAGTTATTTTTTACTACATAATTTTCAACCATGATTTATTCATATAATTTGGAAAACCCACAAAATCTCTGCGATGTTACAATGAGGGATCACGTTCATCATTATTAATGTCAAACATAAACTGAATTTTCGATTTTAATACAAAATTCCAATTACGTAAAGTACAACAGCTAGCTTTGATCAGTATTTTCAGAAACCATGTTAACTTGTGGTACAACCTGATGCAAAATATTTATCTAAAAATACAATAATTATACGTGCAAGTTCAATGACTAATGCTACACTGGCATTTTATAGTAATAATAGTAAGGTTATACATAAACAGCATACACACACAAAAAAAGCATGAATAGTAAAATTACATTTCATGATAGAAACTCTTATTTTAACAATAGAAAATTAATTATGTACTAAATTATTGCAGAATATATACAATTCGCTTAAATCATTCATTAGCCTTATCAAAATCAAATCGAAATGAGATTTGTAAGAAGACTGTATCAAAATAAAATAAAAGAAAAATATTTAAATCAGAGTGCTTTTTTATCTTCTTTCAAACACAGGTAAGCAGTGTTTTCATGTCTAAGGCTTGCCGATATTGTAAACTTGGTTTCTTTGTTATGATGATCCAATGGCTCAATTTAGTGCGATGTACATGTCATTAATTTCCGAACTTCTTCCAGTCTCTAATTAACTCGGGAGAAATATTAAACGTACACTGAACAAAACAAAACAAAACGAATATAAACTGGAAATCGATTCAAAACTCGAAGAAATGCTTTTTGTTTTTATTGAACAGAAGAAATAATAGGAGTCAGTAATATCGTCATACCTGATGTTCCCAGGAAGGAGAAAATAAACGTTGTTTCTGTTTGTATTAGTATAGACTAAATAACTCTACAAGTTCAAACTTGGTTTTTCTACTGAACAATACTTTTTGTTTCAAATTCAAATGTCGTTTATTTTTTTAAAAATGTGTTTTCTTCTCTCACAAATTACCTTTTTCGTCTTTACAACTTAAAATCTGAACATACATATTTCATAAATAAGTGTATAAAGCATTTAAAAATATCATACATATAATTCAGGGATAAAGATTTTTGAAAACTATGAACTACAAAAGTTGTGTTCAATCAGTGATGGCTCAGAAGAGCTGAATCATTGTATTTACCTGAAAATGAATATGAAGAGTATAAGCAGGGCGAAAAAAACTGCCACGTTGTCGACGGTCCTCAGCATGATGACTAACTGCCGCCGAAGAGCAGGCAAGAAGCGAACTAGCTTCAATATCCTTAAAAGGCGGAATGTCCGGAGCACAGATAAACCACTCCCGCTGCTCTGACACAGTTCCACTATGCTGTAGATTAGGAAAAAATGACAAATATTTTATGTTATAACTAACAAAATAACACTGGAATTAAACATCGTATCAAATTATTCCACAAAATCCTCTCAGAACGAGCATAATTTCTTGACATAAAATTATAAGTTTTATAAAAAGAGACAATATATAAAGATAGTATGTTACAGTTCTTAATAAAATTAAAGAATAAATTACAGCAAAAAGGATTGTGCCGATTTTCCTTTCCTGTGAGTTTTTCATCGTGATAGTTTCCGTCCAATCGAGAAAATCATGAAAATTTTTAATTATGTGGATATTAGGCTTAAATAGGTGTGATTCTTAATTACCACTTATGATTATTGACGATTGTTCGCTGACTTGCTGTTCTTCTCTATTTGTGAGCTTATAAGGTATTTCTCCCACTTTCCTAGCGTCTTTCGTGGTGTAGTGGTTCTGCACACTGGGCCGGTATTCCAGAGGTCCATGGTTCGATTCCCGGCGAAGACGGTTGTTAATTTTTCATCTTTTCTGCTTCCAATTAACCTAATTTGTCCTACAAGTGGCGCCCGAACTAAAAGGGTTATGGATGATGATTCTTCGCACCCAGGCTTTGGCGACTAGGTCCCCTAAAACCCTAGTTGCCCTTTAAAAAGGGGAGTATATAAGGTATTTCTCCCACCTTCCTAGCGTCCTTCGTGGTGTAGTGGTTCTGCACGCTGAGCCGGTATTCCAGAGGTCCGTGGTTCGATTCCCGGCGAAGGTGGTTGTTATTTTTCATCTTGTCTGTTTTCAAAAAGATACCTAATGACTCTACAAGCTTCTCTCTGCTCTGTCTGTCTGCTTTGTTGCTGACAAGTTTTAAGAATTTCGTAACTAATATTTTAATTTGACTTGCAGTATTTAAAAACAGGTTATTTTCGTATGTTATTTCATCTAATGAAAATTGAAATTTTATAATCGGATACCTTATAGTAATAGAGCTGTATATTCCTCAGACAAGCGGTATCTTTCGTTTTTCGCTCTGATTATTTTAATTTGCTGATAATAATTATCTTAAGTATCCAAAGGGCAAATTTTTTAGGCGTTTTTCAGGCTTTAATAATTGTAAATGGATATTCGCATAATGATTTGTGAGCGCAAGATGGAAAGAAGGGTAATTTTTTTTCAAATTTTTTGCTAACTAATAAATTAAAAAAAAAAAAAAAAAAAAAAAAAAAAACAAAATTTAAACAGAAAAGAAATAATTTTTCTGTATCAGAATATCAGATTAGAAAAATTACCAGTAAAACTTTATAAAAAACTAGTTTATTAATGCCATAGGAGTAGTAGTTAACTACTTTAAAATTCTGTTAAGTGCTAGAAGTTGCATTAATTTTCTATGCTTTAGTTTCCATTTTACATTTCCATCAAATATTTATGAATTAAAAATATGAAAGTAAAAATTATTCCTCTTTCAAACTTGCGCTCACAATACATTATGCGAGTACCCTTTCACAATTATTAAAGCCTGAAAAACGCATGTCTGCGATGTTGTCGTCATGCGATGATACTTTATTTTTTACGACTATATTTTCGACGACGATGTTTTTAATCTGCAAAGTTTTTGAATCTTTTTATTTTCGACGACGATATTTTGTACCACGACGATGTTTTAGAACTGCGATGTTTTCTCTTTCCTTTTATTTTCTTCCACGATGTTTTGTGCCACGTCGTTTTCGCCTTGAGTTGTTTCGTCGGCGATGTTTTCGACGGACACGAAAATGCGGAATAGAAATTTTGAAACTTATCAGGGTTTTCATACACTTGTTTCTTACCTTCCTTACAACAATAACAGAAAAAAGCCAATTTAGCAGTTTCTATTAAAACATCTTAATTTTATATGATGCATTACTATATACAGGGTGTTTCTTTTTTAAATGGAACTACTCAGAGCACATTTTTCTGTCGGTACAGCGGCTGTTGCACCATCCGTTTACAGAAGGAAAAAGGACATCAGGCGCCTTTTTCGACTTGCATGGCCTCCTCGCTTTCTAGATCTAACCTCATGTGATTTTTTCCTATGGGGTTATTAGAAGTTCAAGGTCAATCTTGTTGGGGTCCCGACATAGACGACCTTAAAGGACAACATATCACGGGCTGGGCTGAGCATTCTTGGTGCTATATTATAAAGTATTTTCTCCCTGTTCTGAATGCCTTAGTGGCGTAACGGTTAGCACATTTGGCGCGTATTCGAGAAGTCCAAGTTCGAGTCCTGGCGAGGCCATTGCACATTTTTCACGTTTCCTACTTTGAAATAACCTGATGACTCTAGAATGTTACGTTCATCATCGAGAATGTTTCTTGCAGGATATCATGCATGACCCAATAGAAGGATGTACCTTCGCCGAGGAAGGGCTTTTATTGAATAAAGTGCTAGGTGCACTTAAATATCATCTTTGTAAATCTTCGGGCAGTTCATTTGCTGCATTAAAGTGGTGTTGCACTGAAATTTCTTCCTTGTTATTGATTTGTCTTCTTCTCAACTGTGTAGATTAGAAGAGCATCACATTTTTCCCTATCAGCAACTTACTGTACTATTTTTTTCACATGTTATCATTAGCTCTCTACCAAATAAATCGAGCTATAGATCAATCTGAGTAGCGTCAGTTTAATAAAAAACACCCTATGTATAAATAAAGCACCCTGTTTATGTATATATACAGGGTAGTTCAAAACTATATGTCAAAAATGTAAAGGCAGGTAGACGGGACCTGAATAAGCAGATTTCGTATAGGAATGTGTGTGCGGTAATGCAGCATTAAAGCGCTAGTACGCAAAGAAGTAAGAATCACAGGAAAGTGAAAAGACAAGTAAAGACAAAACAAAAAATATTATTAACAGTTTACAATAGGTGCTTGAAAGAGCGGCCACCAACAGCCATACAAGGTTCACAGTGGCTGTGATTGGCTCAGCGTACATAGAATAGACGTTAGGCATGTCGAGCACATATCCCCAGCAGCAACAGGCAGGCGGGCAACAAGACCTTCTCTGCAGATGTGACGGGACCCATTCCAAAAGAAGAAATCGAAGCAGGTCAAGTCAGGAGAACGCGGGGACCAGGAAACTGGCGCGCCCCGTCTTATCCAATGCTGGCCGTTGACAGCGTTCAGGTGATTCCTAACTTTCCGACTGAAGTGAGCTACAGCTCCTTCGTGCTAGAACCACATTCGTCTGAAAAGAACTGTAGGAATATCGACCAAAAGATCAGGTAAGACATTTCTCAAGATTCTCTCCCTGTACATCCTTTAAGTAGCTAATGCATTTCCTTGTGCAATTCCCATACATGAAATGCATGTCGGCATTCAGCTAGCGCAGCGCTTTTATATACCGTACTCATTAGCGCTCTCTATCGGCTCAACACGGCATTACCGCATACAAAATCTATAAAATCTATGAAAAATCACACCTATACAAAATCTGCTTATTTAGATCCCCTCTACCTGTTTTTACATTTTGACTTATGGTTTTGAACTACCCTGTATATAAAACTTTATTTCGACTTATCACTTAGCTGAATAAGATTTTCTTGATCTAATTAATTCTTATATTATGGAGCTGAAGAGCATTTATTTTGATATGAAACTATATTTCAATTTTACAATTCTTTTAAGCTCTCTTATCCAAATTTTAGTTTTTAATGAGCCTTCTTATCTATACATTAGCTTAATAATAATAGTATAATGCTTTACATTTCCGTGCACAAGTCTGTGTGCATAATTGTTTCCATAATTTACGTGCAATAATTATTTTTCATAATCTGCAGTATTCGAATTACTAAGACTTGTAATATTATTCACATATACATTTGATTTAAAAGGAACACTAGAGAGAACGCTAGCTAGAGAAAATGTCCATATTTTACTAAATGTGGTAATGAGTTGTATTATCTTTTCTCAAACATACCTGAGTATCACAATAACACCATCGAATACGTTGTAGCCACTGCTGATGTAACCATACAGCCCTTCAGCAAGTATCTTGAGGCACATTTCAAAACCGAAAATTCCAGTAAACACCAAGTTACTCACTTCTACGATGAAGGTGAGTTCTTCTGGCTGGAAAATGAAAACGGTAAATTACACAAAAGTTATATATACATAATTAAGCACAAAAAGCACAAGCCCATATCATCTTTTATATTTTAATGCAATCTCTATAAGTATAGTTATTTGCGAGTGCATTTATGACTGAATAATATGAAAACTATCTGCAAAGAGCTATTGCTGCCTTAAACGTGTATACTTATTTATTTACATATATAAGTAATCCAATAATAAATATACTTATTATTATATATATATAAATATATACATATACTGTTATTACTATATATATATATATATTTGTATACTCAAGTCGGAGCAGATTATACCTTGAGTTTTGGAAATTTTCATTTATGCAAAAATTATCTTTGAGGTTCCCTATTTGCTTTACTTTAGTTAAATTTCTTATAGAATAACTTAATTTATAATATTAATAAATATGAAATAATTTAATTTGGAACTTCATTACTTTGCTTTGCAACATTTATTTAGAATTTTGCTATTTCTTAACTTGAATAATTATAATAAAATTTTGGTACTATTGTTTGTGGACCGTAAAAAACTGCAGCGAAAATGTTTGGGCAAAAGTGCCAAATCTAACAAATGCGCACGTTTAACAGCGCACCAAATCTAGCGTACGCGCTGATTTCAAATTGCGTAAGTTTAGATAGTTCTATATTTCTTAAGACGCCATTAAAATACTAGTTTAGATTTTAAATCCTTTTTTGATTTTAAATACTTTTTTGATATCCTATGGATTTAACAACTTTTGAATTGCTTTAAGAACGCGTTTTTAAGAATTGCGCATACTCGGTATCCACCTACACATCAACCTATTTTCACTTACAAAAATATCCCAGAATTGCACAAAAATGGCACTGCGCACACCCTTGACTTCATCTATGTACACATCGACCAATTTTCACTTAAAAAGTAAAAAAAAAATTGACAAAAATCCAATTGTTTTTTCCTTTGTAAAATGCGCCAAACAAATAAGTGGACGATTCTGCACTTTACCGAGAATTTTGTCAAAGAAAAGTCATCATTCATTATAGAAAATTATGTTTGAAAAACCAACGAGATGATATTATGGTTTAGCGATAACTCGGTAGCGAAATAGCGATGCAGGAATCCGTTCAGTCATGCTTAGCCTTTTTTATATAAATTATAATAATAAAAAAGTATTATATGAAATCAACCTTTCATCCAAATTAAAACAATAATCTTTAACTATAGTTATTTACTATTATACTTCCTTTCTTGCGTTAGGGTTGTCGTAATTATTTTTGGCAGCACTGGCATCAACAATAGTTTGGCGAATTTTTATGGTCCTCAAAACCGAAAAATACCAAAATTTTTAATTTATAAAATTAGTTTTATTTTGTCCAATATTTTTTCTGGTTTCTAATTTCGAGTATTTTAATTTTATAATTGTTCAGTTTTTGTACATTGTGATTTGCTTAATGTCACGTCGGAGCAAATTATATCATGAACTCATGCCGAAATGTTTAAAATTTTGATAAAATTCCTTTATAATATTATAAGGTATTTCACAGGTTCGTGGTTCGATTCCCGGCGAAGGCGTTTGCTCTTTTTTCATCTTGCCTGCTTCCAAAAATATCCTAATGTCTCTACAATATTAGATAAATGTTAACGGTCTTGAATTTTTATTTAAAATTACTTTAAATGTAGTTGTTATTTGCACTTTATAATTTATTTCATGATTTTGTTTTGAAAATCATTCAGATATACTTCAGAATCGAGGCTCTGTTGAAAGTTTTTCGGCCGCTCGTTGAAAGAGCCTAATGAAATTTCAACTATTTGTTATATAATTTTATTTTGATTTCGTTTCACTATTGATTTATATTCTACTTGTTAGCTAAAATACTAGCGTTTTTGATTTAATCATTATCTCTTGGTTAGCAGTAATATCTAGTAAGAAGTTGTAGAGACATTAGGTTATTTCGGAGCATGAGACGTGAAAAATGAGTAGTGCCCTCGCCGGGAATCGAACCACAGACCTCTTGAATATGCGTCGAGCTTGCTGACCACTACACCACGAAGGCATGCTGAAAAGGCGGGAGAAATAACTTATATACTCCCCCTTTTCAAAGGGCGACTAGGGTTTTAGGGGATCCAATTGCCAAATCTTGGTGGTGAAGAATCATGATTAATCGCCTTTTAGTTCGGGCGCCACTGTAGAGACATTAAGTTATTTTGAAGCAAGAGGTGTGAAAAATAAGCAATGCCCTGGCTAGGAATCGAACAACGGACCTCTCGAATACGTGTCGAGCGTGCTGACCGCTACACTACGAAGGCATGCTAAGAAGGCGGGAGAAATATCTTATAAAGTAATAATATTTGTACACATATACAACATTACTGATGATTTTAATGCATATGCAATAATATGGGGTGAATTTTAAACGTATTATTTATTTTAACTGATTTTACATTATTACCACCATTTGTTGCTGCTTTCAGCGCGCAGCTGAATTAGGTTTTGAACTGTTTTTTACTTTCATTTATTACTTCCATTCCACATATGCAGTTATATATCATATATGTGAGACATAAATATACAAAGTGCTTAGGAAAGTCCCTTTACCCTGAAAATTCTTGCGAATGGAGAGAGCTACAGATATGAGAGTGAGGTAACGGTATAGTAAAACGACTGCTCCCGACCTAATGCAAACGACAGCAGCGCCCCCTAGTAGCTAAATTTGGAAGATAGGCATGGCAAATCGGAACTGAAAAAATCTGATGTGCACGTTACATGATTTCCTTCTACGGAATATTAAATTATAAACATTTTTCCTGCATTTCATTTAAACTTATTGAATTGAATTAAATCTATTTTGTAGATAGCGCATAAACCATAATATAATAAATGGAGTCTTTAAAATTCACTATATTTATTTACCATATCGACACTCTGGTGCTAGGTTCACTTAAAAGCGTTACATCTCCTTCATTTTACAACTCAGAATGCACAAAAATTACATCATCTGAGAAATATCTAATCGTTGCCACATGTTTTATTCAAATATTATAATAAATATTATAATAAAAGAAATTAAACAAATAAAAAAAGAAGCAGTTTTTCTCAGACGATTTACCTAATGCGCATGCACTACTCGTCAACATTCTCCTCTGTCCCAGACAGATTGGCGACAACATTTGCTGCTAATACGAAACACTTATTTTCTCGAATTTCATTACAGATATATTTCTCATTCAATTAATTCATTTCTCACTTTGAGGCAAGGCAAAAATACATAATAACTCAAAATATCTTCATTAAAAATTGAAAGATATGGAAAAATATAAGACAACAAATACAGTTAAAACAATTTTTACAATTAAAATTAGAGTTTCTACGCAAAAACAAGCCATTCCGCCAGCAGGCAAAAAGGCAGATTTTTCGGTGCACAAAACTAGAAGTTTCCTTTTGGTTCCACTCGGCAAAAAGACACTGAAGGTGCAACAACATTTAATTCACTGTTTTGCTAAGTTTCAATTGTAAACAAATATGGCTGTTATGGTAAGAAAAACTAGACTTTGCCGCACTTAAACTACTTTTAAATGGTTGATAATTCTACAACTATTGCGTATACATTAACTAAAGGCATAAAAACCTTAACCGGAAGATAAGAACAACATTAAATCAATCATTTTTAAAGCAAAATATGCGCAATTTATCAAATAAGAGTTAAAAAAAACTGAGGTGACGGAGCCGAGTAACATATATATATATATTTGGTGCGGCCGATTGCAACCAAAAAGGCAGATGCAAATTTACATGCTATAGCAGTTAAACATACAAAATTTGAACTTTCTAAGGCTACTCGTGTTTGAGTTATGCGAGATACATAGATACATACATACATACGTACGTACAGACGCCACGAAAATATCTCTTCTGAATCAATTTTAAATGAGTTTTATAATTCGTTTAGGGGGAAAAGAGTTCTTTATTATGTCCTTACATACAGATGTCACGCAAAAACATCTCTCCGTTTGCAAGAATTTTCAGGTTAAAGGGACTTTCCTATGAACCCTGTATATGTAAGATGTAAAATGTGAAATAAAGTAAGTGAAGTTTGATAATAATGCTTTTTATTTCTTATTTTAATTTGATAACATCTCCTTTCTGTCCTAAAATTTACTACTGTTTATATTATCTCAAAATTAATCCGCATCATGCCATTTTAAGTAAGCATAGCAATGCGGATATTATTTTTACAATCAGATTAAAGAAATTTTCGACTATTTTCACACTTGCTTTTTGTGCACTTACTTTCACGCTTTCATCTTGATCTGCTAGCGTGTATCATTCATTCTGTTTTCGTCCATAGTGTAAAGATGTGAATAGCTGTGTGAATTTGTGGTATGCATTTTGCACCCATAATGATAATATGATATACCCATAAAGAAGAATATGTGTCCTTATCAAGAAATAAAATTATATGTTGAATCTATGGCGACTCTGAAAGTTTTCCTTCTATGCATCTATGGCGCTACCATCTTGCCAGATTAATACAAGGAGACATCATTCTATCTATGTCGAATAAAGAATCATCAAGCTGTTTACAGAGTTATTATTATATATATAATATATATATTTATTATATAATATAATGATAATAATTCTGCATATAATGTATATATATATTTTAATAAATTAGACTGTTACAATAATTTTTACTTTAATTAAAATCATATTTAAAAATTCTTTTCAAAATTAAAATTAATCTATTTGATACTTGCACTGATATACATATGCTCTCAGAATTTAACTGATATTGTAGATTAGTTCGCAGCAATAATTAATCATTAATTTGTAATTCAATTTCATTAAAAATTTAATTAACTTTAAATCGACTTTTTACGAATAGAGAATGTTTGTTAAATTTAAATATATATATATATACACATTATATACATAAGTGTACCTATACATTTACACCACGTATCATATTTCAGAAAGTTTTGCAATATAAAAAAATAAA